TTTTTCTCTCCATATATTACCCCCATTACATATTTACTTTCGTCAGAAACCTCTTGCATCTAAATTTTTCTCCTAATACTTGTTACCTGATATCCACAGTCAGCCCCCCTACCTCAACCCACTTACCATCATACACTTACATAATTGGCTGAATCACGGTCCTATTCCTAAACCTACTGCATATTTCTTGAAACGTCATTGGCTTATTTTCTCTACTACCCTCTTTCACTATATTAGTGCTTTATTCTCTACCCAATACCTCACCTCAACTCTGTAACATAACACCTTCTCACCCCTTCTTTCTCATTGCTATTTCACAGTTTCTTATGTTGTTTTATCTTACCCTATTACTCCTTACTGTAGTAATTAAAAAATGTTCTGATTCTCTTGTGTTTCCTCTTTGATTTCTGATCTACCCATCACGTAGTACTACTTATGCTTTCGTTTCCCTTTTAAACATGACATTACCCATTACCACATAACCCCTTAGTTTCCTATTACATACAAATTTCAAAGGCCCCCATTATCATTTACACCCGGCACCCCAAAGTTACCTACCCACCCTCTCTAACCATTTCTCCCACTTTAGCATTTAGGTCCCCTACCACAATTACTTTCTCACTTGGTTCAAAGGTTCCTAAACACTCGCTTAAAATCTCCCCAAATCAATCAATCTCTCTCTCTCTCTCACCCTTCCCTTTACACTTCTCTCTTCCTCAGGTACATACACAGTTATTATAACCCACTTTTTGCATCCGACCTTTTTTTTTTTTTAATCCACATAATCCTTGAATTTATACATTTATACTTCCCCTTCCCCTTCTCCTTCCATAATTGATCCTTCAACAGTATTGCTACACCTTCCTTAGCTCTGACTCTCTCAGATACTCTTGACTTAATCCCATATATTTCTCCCCACTGAAACTCCCCTACTCCCTTCAGCTTTGTTTTGCTTAGAGCTAGGACATCCAACTTCTTTTCATTCATAACATTAGCAATCATCTCTTATCTGCACCACATCCATGCACATTCAAACATCTCAGCTTTATTAACTAATTTATACAGGAGAAGAGGTTACTAGCCTATTACTTCCGGCATTTTAGTTGCCTTTTACAACACGTATGGCTTATGGAGGAAAGATTCTTTTCTATTTCTCCATGGAGATGAAAGGAAATAAGAACAAAAACTATTTAGCTTGTAGTATGTATGTGCTTAAAATTAAAAAGACTTAGGTATTTGGAAATTCATTTAACAGCTGTTTGTAATGTATGTGGGTTGTATGCAAGGTCATGTATTATATTTACTTGGGTGTGTTTGAAGGAGCAAACTCATAGTTCCTGCCCCCTATCACCTTGTCATTTTGTACTTTACAATAAAGACATGGTTACTGACAGTGGCCTTAATGAATCAACAGGTATGACTATATAGCTCATCTGAAAACATTCTGTTGAAATAACTGTAGGGAGATTAAAAAGTGTATCTTTTCATTGATAAATAAACAGTCAATTCTTATCTCTACTATACTGATGCACATTCAGACACCTAAAGGGCATATAAATCTGTAGTGGAAAGAAGGTGGGGTAACCAGCCGCTCCAGGTAGGGATCATCCTAGGAATGGTTGGAGAGAGAGGGTAAAGGAGGTTTTGTGTGTGAGGGGCTTAGACTTCCAGCAAGTGTGCATGAGCATGCTAGGTAAGAGTGAGTGGAGGCAAATGTTTTTTTTTTAACTTGATGTACTTTTAGAGTGTGAGTGAGGTAACATTTATGAAGGGATTCAGGGAAACCAGTTAGCTAGACTTGAGCCGTCTTGGAGGTTAAAAGTGCAGCGCCTGTGCTCTGAAGTTGTGGAGTTATGTTGCAGTTTTTAACTGTAGTGTAGTGCTCCTCTGGCAAGACAGTGATGTACAGTTGCATGAATCTTCAAACTTCACTAAGCTGTAGTACAAAATTAATAGCAGACCTTCGCTTAGGAACCTAGATAGGGATTGAAGGAATGATTAACCAAGTTCAAATTCAAATTTTTATTTCTTTTTATGCAGTATAAAAATAATGTAGTTTACATGTGATACAACACCATGGCTTGGTGGCAAAAGCTGTTGCTTCACACAGTGAGGGTCTGGGTTCGATTCCCGGCAAAGGGGTGGAAACATTGGACATGTTTCCTTACACTGGTTGACTATGTTCACCCATCAGTAAAATGGGTACCTGGGTGTTAATCGACTGGTGTGGGTCGTATCCTGGGACAAAACTGACCTAATTTGCCTGAAATGCTCTGCATAACAAGTGGCTTTCTATACAGTAGTATGTCAGCTAGGCCTGTATACCTAGTACATATACAGTGGACCCCCGGTTCACGATATTAATCTGTTCCTGAGAGCTCATTGTAAACCAAAATTATCGGAAAGCGAATCAATATTCCCCATAAGAAATAATGGAAATCAAATTAATCCGTGCAAGACACCCAAAAGTATGAAAAAAAAACTTTTACCACATGATATATTAAGTTTAATGCAATATAATAATTACAATAACAATAGAATAATCACAATAAATAATTGACACTTACCTTTAATGAAGATCTGGTGATGATTGATGGGATGGGAGGAGGGAACAGTGTCAAAGTTTTTAATGTTTAGAAGGGGAATCCCCCTCCATTAGGACTTGAGGTAGCAAGTCCTTTTCCGGGGTTACTTCCCTTCTTCTGTTAATGCCACTAGGACCAGCTTGAGAATCACTGGACTTCTGTTGCACAACATATCTGTCCATAGAGGCCTGTACCTCTCGTTCCCTTATGACTTTCCTAAAGTGGTTCACAACATTGTCAGTGTACAGGTTGCCAACACGGCTTGCAGTAGCTGTGTCAGGGTGATTTTCATCAAAAAAGGTTTGCACACATTTCCTTAATTTCAATGGTCATTAGCACCCTTGGTCACGATGGGTTGGCACTAGAAGCTTTCTTGGGGCCCATGGTGACTTATTTTGCAGAAACAAGCACCAAAAACAGTGATAATATGGATAATATAGAATGTACCAAATGTATCCTTAGTTGCGCGCACACTGACTGGCTTGTAAACACTGGACACGTCTCGTACGAATCGTATCGCATACCGGGTTTTGTAACTGGAACCGAGGCAAATTTTTTGCTATATAATGCTTCGGATACCGGATTTATCGGATACCAATGGCTTTGTGAACCGGGGGTCCACTGTATGTGTAGTAATAAAGATATTATTATTATTCTTCTTCTTTCAACACACCGGCCATATCCCACCGAGGTGGGGTAGCCCAAAAGGAAAAACGAAAGTTTCTCCTTTTACATTTAGTAATATATACAGGAGAAGGGGTTACTAGCCCCCTTGCTCCTGGCATTTTAGTCGCCTCTTACAACACTCATGGCTTACGGAAGAATTCTGTTCCACTTCCCCATGGAGGTGAGAGGAAATAAACAAGAACAAGAACTAGTAAGAAAATAGAAGAAAATCCAGAGGGGTGTGTATATATATATATATGCTTGTACATGTATGTGTAGTGTGACCTAAGTGTAAGTAGAAGTAGCAAGACGTACCTGAAACATTGCATGTTTATGAGACAGAAAAATGGACACCAGCAATCCTACCATCATGTAAAACAATTACAGGCTTTTGTTTTACATTCACTTGGCAGGACGGTAGTACCTCCCTGGGCGGTTGCTGTCTACCAACCTACTACCTAGAATTCTTATTATTAAAGAAAGCCACTAGTATGCAGTCCATTTCAGGCATGCCAATCCTAATGTTTAAACACTACTTAAGGATTTGACTTAAACTGTTAAGTAGGATTTCTTATGCAGTTAACTACTATTATATGCACAGTAAGAAAGGCAACTAATAAACAAATAGTACAATTTTAAAACTATGATTTATTATTTCAAATTGATTCAGTGATCTTCAGTTTTGTGGGGTGATGGAATACAGATGGTGAAGGTACAGCAAGTTACTTACAGTAGAAATGTAATGGGCTAAGATGGGCAACTAATTTTCTATGGGAGTTGAAGAAAGACTGGAAGAACAGGGACAAAGTTGGATGAGCTGGTCTTGTATGACATAGTGTTTTGCTGGTTTAATTATGTTTGGAAGATGAAATGCTTTTTAACATGTTAAACAAATTTAATTTTCTCATAGAATCTCATGTTGTAACTTGAGATGGGGACTCGGATGATAATATTCCATATCTAATACCAATTAATTTTTTAATGATGAAATTTTAAAAAATACATAATCACCAGAATTGGATCCATTGTTTAGTAGTCACAATGATGTGATGACCCTCATTTTATGAGGGCATAAGACAAAAAAAAAAGTGTGAAAAAGTTAGGCAAGGTTTAAATATGGCTGCTAGAGAGGAGCGCTCCGATGTCATTTTGCATACTGAATCTTCCTAACTTCTCCCTTCCAGAGTTTAGTTCATTGTTTAGCAGAAGCATAGTGGTGTTATATTCCTCATTTTAGGAATGCATAAAAAATTATTAAAATGACAGTAATAGTAGTAGTAGCTAGGAAACATCAAATGTATTGTTATTGTTGGGTTGAAGGGTTGGGATGGCTCCTAGGCTGTCATACAGTCATTCAGATTTATGAAGATCACGTACTGAGTCTTAACACATCAGCTGCACCTCCCAAGCCAACCAACCTGGCCACCAGCCCGGTGGGTGCAGCTTGCTGACGCATTATTCATTAGGTAGGGTTAGCTTATTGTTATGCCTATTTCCTGATGTGTCATTTGTCTTTAAAAAATTTACTGTGCTTTAAACAAACTGTTTAAAGCATTTCCTGCTTCTTATAGAAGCTTGTTTTGTTCATACACAAGAAGAACTGTTATTGAGGGAAAAAGATCGTTTCCACTCCCACTCTTTTCATTGTTTTTTCTATAATTTCTTTGATATTATGAGCTAAAATCTGAAAAATAATTCTTTGATAATTTTTGCAGTATTTCAGTATCAAAATTATGTTTGATTCAACAGAAAGGTGATATAATTGACATCATTGCCAAAAACCCCTCGGGACTATGGAAAGGCTGTGTGGAGGGAAGAGTTGGGCATTTTAAATTCATCCTCGTGGAAGAGGAGGTTGAGCGTCCAGCTCGTCGTACTCGTGCTTGGCGAGGAACAACGCCTCGCCGTGGTCGAGCACGTACTTTAGAAGAGATTCTTACAAGGCTGCATCTTGGCCATCTTATACAGGTAAGCAAATATATCTATTTAGTAAAAAGGACTTTCTTGGGAGAATATTTCCTAGAATATACAGGTAAGATATAGCATATTGTGCAGATGGAACACATCATTTACACAATACACATATAACCTGCACATGAAGAAAGATCCCTCTAGTTAACCTGTAAACGGTCTAAACGTATATATACGTTTTTTCAACATTTGAAAGTATGTAAAATAAGTAGATCTTTTTAATTTGAAAATGTGTAAAAAACTTTGATCTACTTTTTTTTTTTATACATGTATTTGAAAATATGTAAAAAAAACGCAAATCTACTTTTAGAGCACTACGCATATGAACGTAGATCTGCTTGGACCGTTTACGGGTTAATGGTACAATGGACCAAAATGTCATCGTAAGTTTCTCCTATGTGTGGGTTATTTATGTAACATTGCAGCCATGGTATTGTGCCTTTTTATTCTTGAACCCGTTACCCCTGCTTGCAAACTTGCTCCCAGGGTCGAAGAATCTAAAAAAAAAAAAAAAAAAAAAAAACTTATGAAATGATACAGATTCATTTTCTGAAGGTAATGAAACCAAAAGCATGAAATCTGATGGAAAACTTATGGAATTACTCTCTTGCGAAGTTAGCGATCTCGGCAATTTCACCCCCTTTTGTGATGTAGTCCAGCTGGGCTTGTGAGGTCTCTGGGGAGACCTAATTTAACCAATTATATGGTCACACCTTGCCTTGGCAAACGTCTGTCAGCCACGTCTGAGGTCTTTTGTTCTTGACGGCGTCAGACCTAGGCGTCAGGTCGTACACGTGGTTGTGGGGTGTGCTTGGACCACCATATAAACCCAAGGAACAGCTGAGCAGAGGAGATTCGAGCAGAGCTGAGCTGGAGAGTCTCGGGAGGAGAGACTGTTGGAGACATTGGGCAGAGTAGAACAGTAATATTCACTGTCCCCGTTATTGTATTTTTATTTCTTATATTTTATTATGTTTAGTTAAAGTAGTGAGAGGGTGAGTAGTGTGGTGGGTAGAGTAATGAGAGGTGAAGATGTAGTCACCAGTGACCTCACATTACCTACCTCCGCACTCATCCCTCCTACTGCCTCGCCTGTCCCCTGCCTACTGACTCCCTCCTCTTACCCTCTTATTCCCCTAATCATTACCCCCCCTACATGACACTTTGAGCCCTATTGTGGGCTAATTCCATTGTTCCAGTCAACCAAACTCATAGCTGTTTAGCTAGAACTCCTTTTATTCTGTCGACTGAGTACGTACAAGAAACTTCCCATTTACTTATTTCAACTACCCAGTAAAGTGATCAGAAATATTCAGACTACTGTAAAATGGTAATAATTGTTTAAATAATATCATTGCATTCATGAATGCATATCAGACTGGCCATTTGATGTGTATTGGATGCATGACGTGTTTTGTTTACTCTTGAATGTCGGCAGAAATCAAACATTTCCACTACTTCGAGCTCAATTTCAAGCTACTTTGTCTGCAACCCATTCAGAATCATCTCTATTTCTGTAATGTATCTTCTGTTCTATGAAATGAGACCAAGAAACTGAGAATACAACCATAAAAAACATACAAAAATACTCTGCAAAAATCACTGTTTTACACCAAAAACACGGTCACAGTTTTTTCCCTCATGCACTGTGTGCTGCAGGATTTTTTTTTTTATACTATTCACATTGACCATGCAGACCCATTCTCTCATATGTAGCCTACCAGCTTTCTCCTGCAAGATTGGAAGCCACTAGAATTTTGGCATATTATGGGACTGACCCCCAAAAGGGTTAAATCATTCATTTGTTTGTTTGAAGTGAAGGTGGGTCCTGCATAACCATGAGCTTTCCATATTTACTGTTAAATGTCATCCAATCCCATAAAAAACAATGCATCATGTAGCAATAAAGTATTTATGGGATATCACTTCGGTTCTTTATTTTAGTGAAAGAGTAATTAGCAAAGCTCTGATGGGAAAAATAATTGATAGGAATTAGTGTTAAGAAATAACATAGATGAAACTTACCATGAATGAATATTTTTTTTATTATCACACTGGCCGATTCCCACCAAGGCAGGGTGGCCCGAAAAAGAAAAACTTTCACCATCATTCACTCCATCACTGTCTTGCCAGAAGGGTGCTTTACACTACAGTTTTTAAACTGCAACATTAACACCCCTCCTTCAGAGTGCAGGCACTGTACTTCCCATCTCCAGGACTCAAGTCCGGCCTGCCGGTTTCCCTGAATCCCTTCATAAATGTTACTTTGCTCACACTCCAACAGCACGTCAAGTATTAAAAACCATTTGTCTCCATTCACTCCTATCAAACACGCTCACGCATGCCTGCTGGAGTCGAAGCCCCTCGCACACAAAACCTCCTTTACCCCCTCCCTCCAACCCTTCCTAGGCCGACCCCTACCCCGCCTTCCTTCCACTACAGACTGATACACTCTTGAAGTCATTCTGTTTCGCTCCATTCTCTCTACATGTCCGAACCACCTCAACAACCCTTCCTCAGCCCTCTGGACAACAGTTTTGGTAATCCCGCACCTCCTCCTAACTTCCAAACTACGAATTCTCTGCATTATATTCACACCACACATTGCCCTCAGACATGACATCTCCACTGAATGAATATATGAGCTGTAATGTAATAAACATATAGTAAGGGCACAAGATAAGTGGATGGATGAAGAGATTACATATACAGTGGACCCTCAGTTAACGCCTTTAATCCGTTCCAGAGACCTAGCTTTTAACCGAATTAATTTTTCCCATTAGAAATAATGGAAATCCAATTAATCCGTTCCAGGCACCCAAAAGTATTAAACATGAAATATACATTTCCCTACACAGAAAACAATGATACATGAAGAATAAAACAAATAACATCACACTTACCTTTATTGTGGACTTGTTGACGAGTGATGAGATGGGATGAAGGTGTTCTATTGTTTGGAAGGGAAATCCCCTTCCATAAAGACTTCAGGTAACAAGTCCTTTTCTGGCTTGTGTCCTGGGAAGTGCCTTTTCCTCCTGAGTAATGTAGGTCCTATTTGGCATTTTCTTCCTAAACAGGCCTGTTTTGTCACAATTGAACACTTGTTGGGGTTTTAATTTTTCAGCCTCTATGTACCCCTTAACCCTTTATCGTGCAAGGGGTCCGAAAATTTGAAATTCGAACTGAACTCCCTATGGTGGATAGAGTAACTCAATACAAGGTCACTGATCCCATATAAATTGATTTCTGATGGTTAGTTTTCGAGCAATTGCTAATCTCCGAAGACCGAAAATATTCGGCTGGGCCCGACAAAGGGATTAAAAAATTTTATGTTGCAAACTTGCAGTTGTTAATAAAACACACCAAAACAATTTTTTAAATTTAATATACAAACAGACAATATAAAAAACATAAATGGAACTTGAATCAAAACATTTTTTAATTGTTACAAAATATAAAAAGGAAGCAAATCTCAACAATGACAAATTGCAAAGGGATGCAACTTTCAATCCCTATATTCCTGAGATTCATTGGATACCAATTATTCTATATTGCTAATTGATGGTATGTTTAGCCCGCTGAAGCAATTTCTATCACTCTTTATCCAGATTTACTTTGCATACAGAACACTGGAATGAGGATGTGACCAATTTCTTCGAGTGGCTGCAATAGTTGCAATCGTAATACCTTACTTTTTTCTTCACTAATTTCTGTTTTTTGGCTGGCCTTCTTCCTCCTCATCATCACTTGACACCTGTGCATCCGGTGGCAAGTATTCATCACCACTATCCAGCAATTCTGGTTCATCTACCTCTGCTTCTGATCACCTCTTCAGAAACGCAGACATACCTCGACCTGCTGGTGGACTGCTCCCCATAAAACAACTTCTCATTGATCTGGAAGGACAATAGAAACCTCCTGTATAGATCCAGACCACTAAAAGAGTTCATATATGCAATTGAAATTTTTTTATAAATATTTATTGACTAAAATTGGACATTCCCGGAAACTCGGGCAAGACCGAAATAATTCGGTATAAAATGTTTGCACTTTTTTCACTGCATGCTACACTCAATTATGCTTCACACGGACTTTAGGTATATATCAAAATATGCCTAAACTATCATGTAAGCACTAAACACAAACAATCAGTACTTACCGACATTGTAGAATGTATAATCCAAGAGTAGATTAGTAAGGGTGGAGGGAAAAATGCGTGTGTGGACGGAGCCAAGCCACCAGTGTTTATATTTTGATATCTCAACCAATGGGAAGGCGGCAGAAGCGAACTGTACTTAGCTGAAGAGACTCAGGGAAGGCTTGTGATTGGTTGGAACTAAAGAACGGGAAGCTGGCCGCGCGGGGCACGGAGTATGACACGCCCCCAAAACACGTAATTAATACCGAATTTTTCCGGCCAAACACGATAAAAGGCCTGCACATATTTTTCAGCCGCATTTTTGTCAGAACTGGCAGCCTCACCATGCTTTATCATACCATACCACCATCACAACCACCCTCTACCACCACCACCACTTTCATATTTTTCTACAAACTTTTTCTTAAATTATATGTGTTTCTCACATTCTTTACCATACAATTGGCACTAGAAGCTTTCTTGGGGCCCATGATGGCTTATTTACCAGTTACAAGCACCAAAAACAATGGAATAATACAAAATACAGTGGTCCCTCGTTATCGTCATTAATCCGTTACTGGAAGTGTGATGATTATTGAAATAGACTATTTTCAAATCAATTTTCTCCATAAGAAATAATGTAAATACAATTAATCCGTGCCTGACACCCAGAAGTATTAAAACAAAAATTTTTTTTACATGAAATATATATGTAGTACATAAACAATACAATGGGACATGAATGAAACATTAACAGCAGATGCAGATGCAGTTTAATACAGTGGACCCCCGGTTAACGATATTTTTTCACTCCAGAAGTATGTTCAGGTGCCGGTACTGACCGAATTTGTTCCCA